AGTCCAGTTCCACTTTATTTAAACGGTTGTATTTCTGCTGACTTGACTTTAGTCGAGAGTTGACATCAGAACAAACGGACCCGGGTCGGGAAACGCAGTCATGTGATCGTCCGAGACTCCGGACCTCGGCCTCGAGGGAAGGATCTCTCCATCTCGTCATTCTGTCGGCCCTTCATCTCGTCACTTCCTTCTTCCTCTCTGGCGATCGGTGATTGTTTACATGCACTGCCGCGGCTCATCTTCTACGTAAACCGACATTTTGGCCTCTTTGGCGGATAGCGACGTTAGCTTCATGGCTAGCAGGCCAATAGAAGCCAGGTTCTGAACCATGTAGCCTGATGACTGAAGTGCATGTAAACACGCTGCATCTGAGCCGTCTGCCGACTTCATCTGTTGGATTGTTGCACAGTGAGAGGAGGCGAGTCCTCCTGATGCAGCGTTTCATGGAGGCGTGAAGCCAGTTTGAAGCAAACGTTTGAAATGTCGCAACAAATGTACGAAAGAAAAACGTGAACCAGACTGAGGAAAACAATCAGATGGTTTGACAGAAGAGTGAAGANCACACACACACACACACACTCGTCAATTTACAGCCATGCTCGCTCAATTCGGCTTTATTTATGTGGCGCTTTTTGCCCGTTTTAGTGCTTCATGTGTGATTATCACACCTGCATCGGACCTCGGCGCCGCCACCAGGAACAACTGTGATTGGACTTAATGACAGCGAGGATCCTCTTCCTGTAATGTGTGTAGCGCCGGACGTAAAGAAATAACAGTAATGTGATTAAAGAAATAACAGTAATGTGATTAAAGAAATAACAGTAATGTGATTAAAGAAATAACAGTAATGGGACTAAAGAGTGAAGATGAGTGGATGGACGAGCTGAAACAGAGCAAAAGAAACAAGAAACCAGCAAGAACAGATAAAAACATGCAAATGAACAGAGATTTGATTTTAATAAAACAAAATGACAAATCAGGATAAAAACAAACCTGAAGCGTCGCACCAGGACTGACATGAGATTTTAAAAACGAAATAATAAACAAAAACAAGACAAATGATAAAACCAGGATCACAGCTGTTGGAACATCAGAGACGTCCATGATGTCTGCAGGATGTGAACGTTACACACAACAGACACACACAGTCCGTACTGAGCGCGTGCAGACCTCCATCACAGCTCTGATTGGTGCTCGTGTTGCCGTTTAGTTCTGATGTTTCCTGCAAAGAGCAGAAATCAATATTATCCCAACGAACCAGAGACGCTGCCTCCCCCTTATCTCCCCCTTCTAAATAATTATTGATAATTAGCTTTTCGCATTCGATACGACGTCTGTGTTGAATCATATGTTTCTGTTGTTTCTCATTCGGTGTCACGTGTTTCCTGTTTGGCTTCGTTTTGTCTCCGTGTGTTCAACGTTCAGCTGCTGGATGTTTAACTCGTTCCTTTAGTCTTTGGTCGTTTTGTTGATCCTCGTTAGTCTGATTTATCGTCGTCTAACGACCGTCCTGACGAGTCCGGTCCGTGTGCAGCCCGGTCCTGGTCCTCTGAAGCCAGCTGGGTCTGGGCGTTAGCGTTAGCCGCGTGTCGAGTTGAGCGTTAAACGGGTTCAAACATGTCGGGTCGAGGCCCGATTCGACTCGGAACCATAAATCGTGGCGGCGCGTGAACAGAGGAATGGAAATGAGTGGAGGCTTTGTCCAGGCGGCAGGAGGCTGGCGGAGGGGGGAGGCTGATGGATGGAACAACGCCTCCCCTCGTGGTCTCTCAAGTGAGTAATAGAGGCCGAAATTTCATTTTGCAAGTGGCTGATTTAATGATCCAAAGGGTAATTAATGGCCTGATTATCTTAATGTTAAATATGGCCAGCAGCAATTACGCTGACCTCCTGTCTGTCAAGGTCTGGCCTCCCACTCTGAAACCCAATTAGGTTCTGTTTGGAGGTTTGTCAGGAGGGGGAGGATGGAGGCGAGAGGAGGAAGGAAAACAGCGAGAGGAGGTGCAGCGTTAGCGTTAAACACCTCCATTTTTCTGACTCGGCCGCCGGACCGCGGGGAGGAATGATGTGACAGCGCCGAGCCGCCGCCGTCTCCAGCTGGTGTCATCATCTCTTTATCTTCCCGTCGCCGGTTCTCCTCCCCGCCGCCCACAGCGACGGCCGGTCCAGGTCTCATTAGCATCAGCGCCGCGAACACGAGGCCGCGCCGCGGCCGCTCGGCTCCACAGGCTCCCCGGCCGGAGACTTGTTGACGTGGTGAGCAGGGCCGGCCCGGCGGCGCCGCAGGGACCCAGAAGTGTTTCTGAACCACAAAAAGACTTCCTCTAAACGCTCCCATTAACCTCCGGCCGGCCGTCATCACCTCGGCTTGGCACCGCCGCCCGGCCCGCCGCCCCAGCTGATGCCTGGCCGACGGGGCTGCTAAGTTTGGGCTGGCTGCCCGTCGCCCGCGGGGCTGGCCGGGCCGGGCAGCGCCGCCGCCGCGGCCCTCATCGTTTTAATGAGGCGTCGCAGCAGCACCAGCAGCCAGAGGCCTGACAGCGACGCTAATCCCAGCTCCTGGCCGGACACATGGAGAGAGCTCCGGACCGTCGGCGCTCTGTCGCACCGGGTCACATCTCTGCTGGTCGCCAGAACTCGGCGTCCACGAGCCCAGAGCTTAAAGTTCTGACCCTGGAACAGAGGAGCTGAACGCATCCTCAGCAGGTTCTGTTGTGTGGTTCCTGTGACTCGTCTACAGAGGGGGTTTGTTTGTCTGATGATCATCTGGCGACGACGAGGTTCTGATGAAACCGTTTTAAGCTCAGATTTGGTGACTTTTCCCGATGAACCTGAAGGCCACACCTGATGTGTTCGAGGACCGTCGGACAGCTGAGCACCTGCAGGACTTCTCCGTTTTTACAGTTTCTTTTCTTTGACACTGACCCAGAAGCAGGAAGTCCGAGGCTGTTTCTGGCCAGACCGTCGGATGTGCGTCCGTCACTGAGCATGTGCAGATCTCCGGCAGCCTCCTGACAGACCAACGCTGGGAAATAATTGGCCCCTACATTCTAATTCATCTGTGAGGGGGAGGCCTTGATTAAATTAGTCCTAATAGACGTTATTTTGTACATGACTGAGCCCAGCTCGCCTAACAAGACCCCCAATTTACCGCTGACATTAAGCCGGCCGACGCCAGCCAATCACGTTCACCGTGTGTCACCGCGGCGACGTTATGCTAATGCGGGCTAAAAGCACAAACTAAATGCACATCCTTTATGCCTGAGTCATCAGATTAACCTCTGAGTGCAGTAATGAAGAAATAAATAAGGGCGATGCGTGACTCGGCCCGACTCCCGGAGCAGAAGTGAATCGCTAACAGATCAAGCTCCTCGGCTAATTGGCTGCTACGAGGAAGAAAAAGCAGGAACGAGGAAAAGCGGGAAAACTGTCCCGGATAATGTGTTTGGATTGAATGAGTTCA